AGGTGCAAACCTACTGTTGCTAAGTTCGTCGCCCTTCGTAACTGCTGCTTCGTATTTCGTTTAATGTGGACCGTGCGTAGAAGAAGTGTTTCAAATATAAATTGTAGATGTTAATGAGAAATGTATTTTGTTATATGCACACAATAATTGTACTACGACTTATTATGCAGACGTATTGTAGTTCTGTTTAAAATTCCTTTGAAGTGGATGTTACATCGAATCTGTACGCAGCCGTACCAAATCTCATTCTGCCATAATAGAATTTAGATTTAACCTTATCAGAAAAACGGATACAATTTACATTCCTTGACAATTGGCGCACTAGGTCACTTGCAAACAGGCACAACACATTCCTTTCTCTGCTCTGGCAAAGTCTCCTTGTTCCACAAGATGGAATTTGCTTTCTGTGTCTCGGAACTCCATGTTTTACCCCCTGCTTGGACGATCAGTTCTGCCGGAATTTGCACCAGTTCCTGGCGATTTAGCCCGCATCTGTTGACTCTTCAGTATCAGTCTCGGCCTGAATACACACGCCCTGTTGCCGGCGTTTCGGTAAGTGTAACTCCATGTGCATTGAGCCTACGCAAAATGTTGCGGTAAGCATTGAGAGGGTTATCATTTTCAACTTAATTTTAAGCTACTGGTCCTACCAAATTCGTCCATGCCCCTGTAATTTCCTGCTAACATTTTTATTCTGTTTTTGTTTCAGTTTCACAATTTTCTCTTTCGGATGTGCCACTTGTTGGTCCTGAACGCTTCGTTCATTTGGTTTTGATTCTGGAGCCACTGTTGCCATTCGTCTGATAATTTTATACGTTTATTGTCAAACCGTTCCTGGTTGTTGGTGTTTTAACTCGTACTGACGTAGACTCTCCCTTTCTCGGTTGTCCGCGGTTGCTTAATCAACATATAAGCAAATCTGTAAGGCCCCCCATTTTCGGTTCAAATCCCAGAGAGCCATCCGGCCAATCAAAATCCTTTTCGCAAAGGACAAGTTGTCTGACGGGATAACCTCCCATCAGCAGCAACAGACCCTAATTTATTGAAATAGTCGAGGCTGCCGCCACGACAGAACGCCGTTTCAGTTTTAAGGCGCTAACCAAACACTGAAGATGAGGATGTACAAAACAGTAATTTTTCCTGTTGTCTTGTATGGCTGTGAAACATGGTATCTTACCTTGAAGGAAGAATGTAGATTACAGGTGTGTTTAAAACAGGGTCCTAAGGAGGATATTTGGACCGAGGAGGGATAAAATAAGTGGGGAATTTATAATATTAACGTAACGAGGAAATGCGTGAATTATACGGGTCACCTAGCATTGTGAGGGCAGCGAAATGTAGCACGCATTGGGGGGAACTCCCGGAAAACAACTGGACAGACCAAGATGGATCTTACGGAGGATGGAAATTGAGTTGGCTCAGGATCGTGTCCGGTGGCGGTGTTGGACCTGCGGGCTCTGCTACCAGGGAGTTAGTTTACCATATGCAGCAATGCGTTTCGTACGTAGGAACGGTGTAACCCGCTTGCGAAGGATTCCGCCCTTAGTTAGCATTTTGTACGTCGTCTCCTCCATCCGCGTCTTGGTGACAAAGGACTCTCTTAACATTGCCGAAGTATCAGGCGGCAAATATGAGTGTCCCTTAGAAATAATTCCTTACAGACTTTCGACATTGTCGTAAGTTTTCCTTGCGAATTCTCTGCAACATCCATGAAAGTGAATGATTTTTGGGCGGGGTTTTACTGTGCTCCTTGTCACGTATGTTTTCCGAAATATTAACATGTCACTAAAAAGCTCCCATGTGAGACCGTAACAATGCCATTTCGTCATGTCCGGAATAATTTTAATCAGGACTGCGATGTGCAGTGTCCGGTCACAGGAGAGGAAGCACGAACGAAACAGCTGAGCGATCTTTGCCAACAGCTTTTCTTCTGGTGTACGTACACAAAAGTGCATCGGTCAGCGGTAGTTTCTCTAGGAAGTTGCCGGGATAATCAGCTTTCATCTCTCAGAGACTGACAGTCGCTTAGCTAGTCAAGAAACTCCCCTCATTTTCATGTTCACGATGTGAGGACAGTTTGCACCTTTCGTACGTTCATTCTCATCAGTTTCGTCGTAATAATTCTTCGTTTGTCATGTCGCCGGGAGATTCTTCGTCGTCGAAACCCAGACCGTTCTTCGCGACATCGTCACCGCCGTTGACTCTTCTGGCGCGTGCAGAACGAGACGTTGCAGGTTTCTGCGGAAGAACTAATGAAGCACAGACGACACGGACTGACGTCTCCATGGGTGGGTGACACCGCCGGTTCGCACGCCTCCAGTAACCCATAGACGTCATGGAGGAGGTATAGATCGCGTGGCATTGATGATTTCTATAGCAAAATAATTGCTTTGGTTGTGATGGCCCTCGTATAAATAAACACGGCTGTCCTGTTGCTCCGACGCAAATCAATCTTGACATCCATTTTCTGTTGAGTTTTGCTTTCCAAGATCCTGTAAGTTGTCTTGTGGTGGGACCTCAAAGTGCGACTGGGAAAGTGTCAGAAGAAGTGCCCTGATGTGAACCAAGTTTTTTTTAGAACTACCGGAACCCGGAACCCGTCAGTCAGTGGCATGGATTTCTTGACAAAGAATACTTTCTTTGCAGCTGTGAAGTTACTACGATTATTGCTTGTATGTAGACTTTTATGACGCACAAAAGCATATTTCCACATTTTTATGTAAATACTTGTTTTGTGGTACATAAATGAAACTGTGTGATACAGATCTTTGGAGAACTGGTTCGGACGCGCCCCTTTCTCCAGCTCTGGTAATTACACGTTGGGTGCCATCGCATGTTACGCAGAGAACTTAGAAATCTTTTGTTCAGCGGTGAATGAACTTGACGTGGACAATGCTTCCCCTGGCACAATATTACGAGACTCGAATGAATCGAAAGTACTAAATACTGGAATCGCCTTCAGTTCTCTGTCGTAGTCCATAATAAAGTTGGAAGACACCTCTGATTTCTTTTCGGAAACGACGAAAGATTAACTGAACGGGGCCGACGACTCGAGAACTGATGCAATAAAACAAACCTTCCACTCATGTTTCGGTAAGAATTATGTCTTTTGAGTCACGTACAAGATTTTATGTGAATCGGAGGGCGAAGACGGCCATGGCCGATTCTGGGGACCATGGAGATTGTTAGCGACTTCGTGTGCTACGAGTCTGTGACATGGAACGTGCGTTTTCTCGACACAGATTTACGAAGCAGACTGGCAACTTTTGAATGGCACTTTGTATAATCACGACTGCTTGGGAAAATATGCCCAAATTTCTAAATCTGCTGCTTTAAAACAAACACAGATGTTATCTAAATTACTTGTAGCAAAAAGCCCGTTCCCGTGCCGAAAATCGTTAGAGGAGGAAAGCGCCTGCTTTTTAGACAACCCACATTGCACGTGTGTTTGAGGCAGGGAGCATGAAAACCGACGTCGAGTGTGACGTAATGTTAAGACGGCGTCTCCATGGTTATGCCTTGTCGATACAAACGCAAACGCCGTTTGAATTAACTGTTCTTCGACAGTGCAGACATTCGCCCCACTCAGTCGCAAGTTTCGAGAATTCTGCTATTGGACGATTTCAGCCTCAGAGTTGAGGCAAGTTTTGTTTCACGTCTTGCGATCCACAGGTTTTCTGTTTCCATCATAATAATATGTTTACCGTTCGTTCTTAAGCCGTTCTTACGCAGCATTTTCCACAAGTGACTCTCCTTTCAGATACCTTTTCATCAGTGCCAACTTCTCGGTTGTCCCGAACACGCCTCCGACTAGCTGCAGTCGATTGCCAAAGTTCCCACTGGTTCCCCGCGTGTCACCCGATGACAGTCATTCGAGGAGATTTTGCTGGCCCTCAGCTCGAAATAAATCACGGATCTTTCTTTGTTCGTTCTGTTAGTGGAGCAGCCATGTTACGTAGTTGCTCTTGTTGAAAGGTTATTTTATCATGCTTTTCAGCGCTGCCAACTTCATTTCTACCGCAACAAGAATTACCTTCACTTTCTCCATCCAGCGGTGTCGCCATTCTCGTCACAGTACGAAGTGAAATTGCTCACAGATGCAGGTTGTTTTCGTGTTACGTGGGGGTGGAGGCCATGTCCTGGTGCGTCGGCGCTGAGGAGTGGAAGAACGAGCTAAGTGCAATAGCCGGCGTTGGTTATTTGGGTGGGGGAAATGCATGTGAAAAATGGAACAGCGAGCAAAACACTTCTACGGGAAATAAACATACCATGTGACACTTTCAACCTTTAAATGTAAAAATTTGCCGCTTCAACACGAGTTGTAGAGTTTGTGTACAGCGAGGAAATGCTCTAAGCTGTTCAAATTGCGTAATCGGATCGGTTAGGATTCGGAGACCGGCTGTAACCGTACTGACTAATGTGTTTATGTGTTTCGTGGTTGTCCTCGGGTGGTTCCTTACCATCCTCACATGAGTTCAGTCCACGTACTGGCACTCCGTTTCCATAATACCAATTTATATGTTAATCTGAAAATTTCGGATGAACTTTTTTTAAAAAAAATTTGCCATCACTCATCCGATTCTACATGCACCGCCCATCCTCTTTGGTTCGATCGTCCTAATAATATGTGATGGAATCGTACAAATAGTATTTTTAGTCTATTTTTTCCAGGTATTATGACTAGCACGCAGTTCTCAAACACTCCATCTGTTTTATTCTCTCTGTGTGTTGGACCAGGTTCAACTCCTCCTTGGAACAGTGTGTACCATTTAAAATGCAAATCGTCAGTCAAGTACTTGATAAGCCCCACGTGTAAGAGACTCTCCCGTGACACTCGAGTCGCGCCTGTTGCTAGGCCGATGCTGTTTGTGGAGCTCTTAGCAGCAGGGGAGTGCCCGGGACACGGCGTGTGCTCGGAGTTGTGTTCCGTTTTCTTAAGTTCAGTGTAAAGGTTTTTGAAACCTTGGGACTGAGATGTAATCGTGTTCTTGTTTTCGCAGGGCCGGTGACTGTGCCGATGGTGTCGACCAATTCGTCTCCTCCCATCGCGATGCCAGTGCAAGTGCCCCCCGGTCACGTGGTCCAGCAGATCGTGGACGAGAGCGGAACGCTCCGCCACGTCATCCTGTCCCCGCAGCCGCCGATCGTCCCGATGCCGCCACCTCACTACGTGAGTAATTCGTCTTCATTTGTCGCAATTGTAGCCTGCGCTGACACGTGGAGGAGTCACCACTTGTTCGGATTGATCTCCTACCTACGCCCATCAGCGTCTTCTGAGAGGACGAAAGTGTCGCGTTTTTCACTGGCTCTGACCCTAGTGAGTAGCCACGGCGATACACGCGTCCTACTTCTTTGGGAAGGCGTCGCTGAGCCTCTCGGGTGCCGGGCGCTCGGCTAATACACGCATGTAATTGCAGGAAAGGTTCTTAAACGCGAATGTAAAAAATTACGGCATGTTCCGGCCTGCATAAAGATTGGAGTAAACGTACGCCGTGTAATACACGCCAGAAAATGTTGTTGTCGTTCTTTGAAGGTTTGTGTCTGACTGATCTGAGATTTGATGTGCGTGATATTTTAGGGGTTAGCATTATGTGATTACTGAATAATAGTTGAAATAGTGCATTGTAAATGATGAGGAAGATTTAAGGCACTGAGAGAACGCGCCGGAAGTCTCTTCATAAAACCAGTACAAACTTGCACACGTTCACACAGAACCCTGAGGGAAAAAAAAAAAAAGGCTGTGTTTACATGAAACAGACGCCATTGCAAAGCCAAACTATCAACAGCTTCATATGACATTTGTGCCAACAACTGAATTGTTTCCGGTGCCCAGAAAAGTGTGACGCTTATGAGACGAGCTGACCTCTGACGTGCGATGCCCTCGACACGCGTTTGGAAATTCAGGGAGCGCAGTGACTACGCGTTCTCAAGGCGGCCTTTTTGAATTTCGGATCCCATTTGTCGCAGCCAAGTTTCGCGGTTCAATTCATCGCTTCCATCAAAATCCGCAACCACGCGTTGTTAAATACATCTTTCCACCCCGTTCCACGGTGCTTTAAATACGTCATTAAATAAGCCGAGCTTATAATTCTTTTTTTACGTTTAACTCCACGACATTGCACGTGCTAACTTTGTTTTACGACGCGGTATCAGTAGTGCCGACGAAAGACCTCGTAAATAATCTCATTATTATTTGTCATTACTCATATCTCTCTCTCTCTCTCTCTCTCTCTCTCTCTCTCTCTCTCCCCCCCCCCTCCAGAGAAATGCGATTTCAGTTCATGTTCGTATCTTCGGCGCATCTGCGCCGAGGTCGCCTTTCCTCCAGGTGTCACCGTGCGTCCTACGTCTCCCGCTCGTTTTAAGCCTGAAAGTGTTCGGACGGCGGAGGGAGAGGATTTCATAAAACACAGTTCACCGTCAACATTTTGCAGTTCGTGAATGGTCGTGGTTTTACGCGTGCAGTTTTGCTCCATTTTTATTTTGTTTTCAAATGATGTCAGATCGTTAGCAGAAGCTTATAAAACCTGACGTTCGTGTGTGAGTTTTTGTCTTCCGGAAATGCTCGGGTCATGTTTGTAAATGTTTTGGTAGTCAGGATCGCATTCGCTCCCTAGGGCTCCCAGCACTCGCTGATGTCGGGGATAAAACGCTGCCTTTTGCGAAAGAAATGCGGGAATGTTCCTGTTTCGCTCCAGGAACAAACAAATTCACTGCCGAGAGAAAAGTATGAACGTTCGTAATAAATTTGCCTTTGCATCAGCAGAGATCTTGGCATTTCCTGTGCGCGATCGAGACTCTCAGAACAAGAGAGCGGATCAGAGTGTTTCGATTAAAGAGTAGCGGAGGTAATAAGGATCGGAGAAAACTGAGTAATGAATAACATCAATAATTCGTACTTTTTGCCAAAAAAAAAAATATTTAAAACGTAATGGGGAGCTTCAAAATTTGCGCTCTCCGTGATATTGCTCGGGTTATGAACCGAGGAACAGTGGAACGGGCGGCGGGTAAGCATAAGCCAGAAGTTTTCGGGTAATTCTGTCGCCGGCGAAGCGTACGTCGTATCGCGTTCGATAAGTCATCATCGACTGCAATGAATTCACGTCGCCGAGGGACAATAGAGTTCGCGTTGGCCCCTTGCTTCGCCCCTCTCGGGCCGAAATGCATCGATAATAAACTGTAACGTACCTTTCGTTCCCAGGAAGGTTCTGGCTTTAAATCGTTTAGGACGTAACTGTAAGTCAGAAATTATTGCACACGAAGACGACAACGTCTTGGGCGATCAGACGGAGGTGAAATTATGCGTCATGTTCGATGTCTGTTACTCTGTTGACCGATGGTAAATATAAAAAAGGGGCTAGTTGAAACGACTGTACCAGAGTTCTGTGCATTAGCGGCCGAGGAGAGTATTTTCATGCATATATTAGGGACAGTTACAGAGATGCCACCACAGGACATTTGAACTGGCAAGACCTTTTCCAAAGATAGAATTCAGTTTTCATTTCCTAATGTAGAAACAATGTTGCGACAGTTTTTTAGTATTGTGGTTACAAACTCCCCAGGAGGAAGGTTGTTTCGTCGTTCAAGACACAAACGAATTAGCCGCGGTCAACAATGTCGCAAGAAAATCTCTGTATGCAGAGGATTGTGTCCATTGCTTTTCTTTTGAAGGTATCACCAAATGACTCTGCTGTCCAAAAATCACGGTAATAATGTTTTCATATTTCAATTGCTCTGGTTAGGCAAACATGTTATGATGACCATAAATAACTTTTCCCCACATCCGTTTCGTGTTTATTTTTCAAACGTTTGAAAGTAATTTTTTTTTTTAGTTTCGAATTTAGGGGCCTGATAAACTTGTCATAGATTAGGGCCTCGGATGGTCAAACTACGGCCCTGAGTGTAGTGTAAGACATTACAGAACAACATTTTTTGTGGCGTAGATGGAGCGATGATTACAGTGGCGCCGCGGTGGCGGTTTGGAGAAAAACACTTGCCAACGTAGCCAGTGTGCAGCGTTGGACCCGTCCTGGTTGTCGCGTCACACTCGGGCAATGCGAGTTGTAATGTCAGAAGAATTAGTTTGGGCTTGCAGGGAAAATGGCGTATGAAAACGACAACGAAGTGAAGGAAGAGAATCCGCTCGGTGAAGAAATCAATAACGTTACGCGGGTGGTGGTAAGAATACAATGCAGTTTAGTGTGGGGAGGGGGTAATTGTCTCAACCAAACGGAATATTGCCAACTATGCTTAGTAGAATGTGCCTTGTTTGGTGTAGTTTTCGGTTAGTCAGAGTTCCACCCACACCCAAAGTGCCATTAACAAGTGTGCGTTCGCTGTGTTGGCAAGAGCTGCTTTAAATGCTTTCTGGTTCAAAAAGTTGTGTCTTTTAACGAGTGCTGATACGTTTAAGGCGAGATGATACAGCTTTGTAGGGGCGTTTGGATTTTTGTCTTCGACTCCAGTTCCTGCAGATTTTGCTGGTGGGTCTTGGCTTAGCCTGTCTTCTAAGCATCACGCTACGGCAGGTGTGTGGCAGGTTTTCGCTAGACTGGAAAGCTGAACTGTACGCAGCCCGTGGTAACGATCAAATAAGTGCCCCGTTGGGTTTTGCAAACCGACAAGTATATTTTTTTTTCAGTTTCCGCTCTGATAAAGAAATCTGTCTTCGTGTACTTGGTTTATCATGTGCAGGAAAGAAGTCACAACGAAAATTCAAGCAGTCGCGATAACAGCAAATTGATAAGAAACACTGCCTGTATCTAGACGTGACATTCTAGTGGTGGAGTTTTCAATTGCTGGACAGTCTCACGAACACGACGGAGAAAATATCACGTCTTTATACCTTATGCCTCTGTCGATCCACAGATAAACATTTATCCATTAGATAAGGACTATCCCAGTCTGCAGTGTGTTCGGTTGAATCTTGTTTATTTCTGCCCATCGCATTCACGCAGTGTTCACTGTCGGCTCTCGTGAACTGACAGTGAATCGGTCCATTGTTGTCTCATTTCGTCCGGTGCTCGAGGATGTCGCAAATGATACAGTCACGTGTTTAAACTTTTTTGTTTAAAAGTTGAAGGAAACTGTCTTCATAAAGTAACGATTTCGTTGCTTGAATTATGAGGAAATAAACTCTGGAAATGATTGTTATTTGGTTCGAAAGTGTTATCGTGTCTTCAATCCAAAATACTAAAATTCAAGAAATGTTCTTTTGTGAGTGTAGAAGTGGAAATGAAGTTTGGTAGCGTACGTTTTATTATTAGTGGATTCAGCACCTTTCCACCTCTAATTGATACCTCAAGGCTTACATGAACCAGGGCAGGGACTTATTTCCTGCTTCTGAGTCCCTCTGCATTGTATGAAAGATCTTCGGATTGTATTTTTGTCAGGTTTGCACCTCCGCAGTGGAACCTCGTGGTGATGACGCATCACGCCCGCACGCCATGCAATGTTTTTCCTTGCCCCTCAGCTGTGACACTGGCTTCGCTGATGCTTTGCAGCTCCTGCAACCAAATCCAGCATTTGCTGTTTGCTCCGATCCTTCCGCGCCGAATTCAGACCTTGACTAGATGAACCAGGGTTTCTGCCCCTCCATTTTTTACCTGAAGACAGAAGCTCCAGTTTCCAGAAAACAATTTTTGCAGATTATCATGCACCATTGTTAGAATCCTTCCGACTTCGTGTTGTAACTTGTTTAAGTGAATAACTTTTACGTTGGTACTTCATGTATGCACTGAAGATTTGTAAGTGCTGTGAAATGTTAATAGTAGAGATAGTAACATTGATTACGATTTAATTGTTTGTTGTGTGACCTGCCCTCCTTAAGTCTGTTTGTTTGGGCTTATCATTGGAGCACGTAATTTCACGAGACCTCAGTACACGATTGCCGTGTGGTTGTTGCATTTGTTAATCAGAGTTGGTGAATAACCTGTACACAAAACACATTATCCAGGAACGAACGAAAGTAGGTCAATAGTAAATTGGTTTTCAGGAACTCGTGGCACGCCCACCTGTTTCTGAAGTCTCCCTCATTTTCCCTGGTGGTACATTGTAACTGCGTGATCTAATTCCAGCAAGAGGTGAGATCAATAGACCCCTTTATTCCATTTGGAATAAGGAGGAATTGCCTTGGCAGTGGGAAGAGTTTGTTATTGTGCCAATTTACAGAAGGGCGATGAAACTAATAATTATCGAGGCATGTCACTGTTGTCGACTTCTTAAAATCCACCCAGCATCCTTCTCTCAAGGATAAAAAGTATTGGAGGTCTTCGGTGTGGGTTTTGACTTAATATTGATCAGATATTTGTATTTATCAGAAACTGGAGAAGAATGGGAGGGCAGTGAGAGAGCCCAGAAGCCGTTCATAGACTCCAAGAAAGCCTCTGCAGTAATTCAGTTAGGAGGGAAGCGTGTATAGTCTGACGAATTAAAATGTGTTTAAACGAAACTTGAGGTATGTTAATGTCTCGTCAGACACGTTCACACCCAGGGTTTCTGACATATGTGACAATTTGCTTACTCAATGGGCACCCCTCTTCATAAAAGACATTTTACTAAAAATTAAATTATTATTATTAAGTAGTCAGTCATATTTAATCCTTTCAAATTAACGCAGCGAAGGTTGACACGTGTTTTTAGGCGTTGATGGTCGGTATTCTGTCTCCTTCTCTACGCATTTTGGTAATTCCAAATGCTTTAGTAAATGCAACTTCTGTGTTTGTTTTCAGGGACCAGGGCCTGGGACCAGCACAAACCAGCCTCCGCAACCATTCTTTGCTCCGCAGGGTCTGCCCCCGGGATATCATTTTGGCCATGGAAGTCCGATGCAGCCGGGCGTCATGGGACACGGACCTCCGCCTACGCAGCAGGGTCAGTGATTATGTTCTATGTTCTTATAGCGTCTTACATTCTGTGCACTGAGCAGGTTTTTATAACAGGAACACTCCAAACTTCTTTTTTGATACCCATTTGAGTCTTGATGAAGCAACTGGCCAAAGTTTTCTGTCTTTTTATTATTATTATTATGATTTATTTACTGCAATTGGGTTTGCACCCGGTGGCAGTGGTCCTTAAGTCCGCCCTCAGTACATGTAACTTTTATCCCAAAGAACTGCAGCCCTTCATCACTTGGAGACTTCCCTTATCACCGTCTAATCCCCACTTAATAACCCCTTTGCCAGGTGAATGTGCCTGCAAGTAGGCCATCACCAGCTCCTTTCAGATACTTGCATGCAGATAATCATTTCCAGTCTTAATAATAACCTAATAATGAAATCTGTAGGATTAATTTAACCATGGAGGGACTTCGGCTTCTCCGCCCTCGCGATGAAATCTTGTGCATTGTGTCCGTACATTATCCAGCACTTCCTGGGTTTTGGTTCACGGATGTTAAGTAGTTATGGAATTCTGATAAGAGAAACGTACAAGATTTTGCCATTGTTTGTGTTATACAGCGCACTCTCCTCCGCCGCCACTTAATTTCAAGGATGAGAGGACGCAGCGTCAATATATCAAATTGAAGAAAAAGCTGGAGCAGAAGCACATGCGAGTAGACAATGTCAGTATTACCTCTTCACAAGTTACGCCGCCCATCTCGCCCAGAAAAGGTAATTAAGTCATCGCAGATCGATATAAACATACGAGTTTGACTCTGTGGCCGAAGAATTGTCGGTAAACGAGTTGTTACGCATCACGTTCAGAGTGAAAACGAAGGGAATTACACGTGTGCCGTAATTCATGCATCTTCTGGTGACATTTCAGGTTCTTGGGCCAACGAGTTCGAAAATGGTTGTCTTCTGGGATGTTGCGCCGTATAGATATTGACGAGACCGCGTGGCACATCATAACAGAAAGACAGCCATCTTTACACATATATTGTTTACGTATCTGCATGCTTCAAAACACCCCCTCGCACATTGTTTCCCTGTATATGTAGCATGTGTATTGATTCTAACATAAAGACTTGTGTGCGCGCACACTTCAGTAGCAGCATCTTGCGCTTCGTGTCCTTGAAACTCATCTCTCTCGTCCTCAGAAATTACATTTGGTGGCCTCCCCCCCCCCCCCCCCCCCCTCTCGAGTTCTTAGTTTGGGCCCGATAAGTGACTTTTCGAAGCGCTTATGTTGGTACAAGTATTGAAGTGTTCCAGGAGTTCCAGCCATAACATTTAGTACTGTTACAGATGTAGTGTTAAAGGTCATGTTTGAAGTCGGTCGTGCTAAAAGTAAGGAAATTCGTACTTGAGTTTAGAATGTGGAATGAATGAGAACGTCTGTTGCTTCAGAACTGGCGAACGGTGTGCGGCGGGGCAAGGACCGTGGGATGAGTAGCGTTGGTACGTCTGAAGATGGAGAGGAAAGCAGTAGTGTGCAGGAGGATGAGGAGGAGGATGTCCATCTCATTATGGAGATGTTGTCCACTGTCAAGCCTCCACAGGTAAAGCACAAATTTAAATGAGACTCGGTTCAGGAACGACTTGTCTGCCGCAGTGCACGTTGTCACGGGATAATTTTAACTGTCTGTACATCATATAATTTACATCTGAAATGGGGAGACCCTAGTCCGTGGAAGCTTCTCCATTTAGCGTCACGCTAGGTTGTATTTTAGAATCTCTCGGCGCACGAGTCGTGTACTGTAATAAAGGTGTATGTTGGTGCGCATGCAAGTGCCTACAATGGTCATATTTATTAAAATTATAATTGTGTACTTTGGAGGAGGGGTGGTGATGGGGAAAAGACCGAGGCTTACGAGATCCCCCCCTCCCGCTGTCATTTAAACTTTAATCCGGTGACAGATTTTGTGTGTTATTCCTTTAAAGTCCGTAGCAACTTTCGATGTTTTAAGTCAACAGCGAGAGTAGTGCTACTTATGAAAATAACTAATGAACCAATGGAGACAGAAATGTGAAATGTGATTTGAAGACGGGGGTGTTGACGTTCGTACAGATGATGCTTGATTTTGACAATATTGGAAAACTTTCAGTTCTGTGTGTCAGATTTAAAGTAGTTACAATCTGTATTTAAGGAACAAGTTCCTAGTATTGATGATGATGATAATATCGACAACAACAACAACACAGACATATTTGCTGCCTGAAATCCTTGTTGTGACGTGCTTTGTAGTTCACATGGGAATTTAACAAACTTTCAAGAGAAATGGACATGGACCATTAGTGAGGCTGCGAGAAGTAAGGGCTACATCGCCTCAGATGAGACTCTTCGAGAGACCTGACAAGTTGGCCACCTTTTATCAAGAGGGGGGAAGTATGGTGTGAAGTGGAGGGCACCGTCATCCCCTTATTTTATGCTGGTGTTTGATCGGATGCAAGGAGCGGAGTCTCCAATTACGACTTCGAAGGAGACGTTAAAGGGGCGGAGGGACTCGGAAATGCCCGTAGACCAAGCGCGCGAGGCGCAGGCAGAGAATAATCATTTGTAATTATCATGGGGAGTAATAAATACACATTTCAGCAAAGAACGCAGCTCGTTAAGCAGTGGCTTCTGTTCCAATATTTTAAGTTTTCATTCTGATTTTTCCTGCTATTGTAAGAATAGCTAATGGAGCGTTGTTGCAGGGCATGCAACGTATGTTTACGTAACCCGCAGTTCTTGCATGAAGCAATTTTCTGTTCGGTGTTCGGTGATATAAATAGAAATAATACCAGGGGAGAATTCTTCATGTGTGTAATTCTGGAAGTGTTAATGGAACGATGTGTGAAGGCTGACACGATGGGAAGTTATGAACATGATACGATATTCTTGATTAGTTGTGATGCATCAGAATTGCCGTTGCATTCGCTTACCTTTGAAGGGATAATGGCAGTCAGCGAAGGTGAATGTTGCAATATAGTTATGCTTTGTGTTGCAACAGGTTGCAGAACTAAGTTCGCGAAGTGCCTTACTCCATTGGTTGCCCCCAGAACGATTCACTGAATCTCCCACGTTGGAAGGAAAGCGCTCCGAGTTTGACTTCTCGGATGCTGACCTCTGTTACGAGGTGTTGCTGAGTGATAAGGGGAAGGAAGGAAAGTACAAGTCAATTTACAGTGGCGTTTCTCTTTCTTGCAGGTATGACAGTTTATCTTTGGCTCCGCTAACAATAAAAGTTCTTTACAATGTTTCAGGGTCTGAAAATTTTCATTAGAGCGTGTCTTGGCTATTATGTAAGAAATCTTTGTTCTGAAGTCTCTGGTTTCTGAGCAGGTCATGAAATTCTCATTGTCAACAAGTATTTCCTAAATTGATTGCTTTAATTTTTATTTGCGAGAGTCTGTAAGTTTAATGTTCCAAAGTTGGTACTTCATGTATTCGGGTTTGATGTAATTATTGTCTGTTTTGAGTCAGGATTGAAGATCTGAGGCCTGGGACAGAATACTCAGTGTGTCTGCAGGTACAGCTCGAAGAACTTCAGAGTTCAGTATCAGAGCCCACCACCTTCGTAACTCCAGCCTGCGAACCTGATCAGCCGCAGCCCCCGAAACTCATCACCCGTTCTCGTACTAGCCTTCAACTCAGGTAAATGCTGGCTCGCTTGCTTACTAAGTGTGTCATGTGCCTGCTTCAAATGTAAATATCCGTAGTAATAAATCTGTGAAATGTACCATCCCGCGGGCCAGAGTTTGATAGTACGGTAGCTTCGATTAGATCGGTCGTCCATTGCCAGTTTGTGTGCCACGTCATACTGCAGCGTGTAGCGTCCTAGAGGCAGGGGCACATTTGCTACAATTTGTAGATTGCAGAGTAGTCTCAGAAACATTTTGTTACTACAACAAATCTTGCCTGCCACTTTTTCATATACGGAGTAAACTACCAGACTACGTGGCAAAACGTCCCAGAAGAGAGATCTGTATACTCGCTGCCGCGGTAACCTGAAATCTCTTAACGATAGCAATAACAGTAACTTCTGGTTGTGCAGTAAATTGTTTGTGATGTGATAACCTTTGCAGCGTTGGATTTGCGTCTGAAACAATAGATACCGTATTTACTCGAATGTAAGACAAAAATTGTTCCTAGAAAATGGGGGTTGTATTGTAATTTTCCACAAAATTTTATGAATAGCCTGAATGTTTTTAGGCTGAGTAGTACAGGTGTTTCTTTGTGCCATTTTTTTTCCTCTGTCACTTGCAGTGCAGCCTCGTATACAGAAACGTCCATCGACAGAAGATTACTTTTTTTAGTAGTAGTGCTGTAGATTAGGTAGTAGCCTAGGGTGCAACTGTTTCGTACTGTCGAGTCGGCACCGCGAAACGCCACCGTTCGTCGTATTGCAGGCGTATGATCGAATATACCCTTTCTTTAACTCTGCAACTTGTAACATCTAACAAACTACGATATTCTGTTACGTATTAGTTGTGCAGATTTCCGTGGTCAAACGATCAGACTTTATAATCCATTCGTTGCGTTCACATTTATAAAGACAATCACGTGATATTCTGATTACTTTGATTGCTGTAAACTTCCCATCTGAAATAAACAGGCGGTGTGACCAGATTGTTCCAACAGTAATTTTGTGTACATAATGCAATTTCAGTTTGTGAAAAAAAATTTAAATGCTGTAACTGCAACAATTTTCTCTTGCTTCTAAGTGGAGGATAATTTTTAAATACGATGCAATTCCTTGGCTGATTTCAGTTCTTGTGAGTGACACAAAAACCTGACTAATGTGAATATTGTTAAGGGGTTTGTCTTACATTCAGGTAAATGTGGCGTATCTGTGAAGAATGAACATGCAGACTAGAGAAGTATACAAAATGTGGAGATGCGTGTACTCAAGACTGGAGTAACAGATAATGAGCGTGTTAATATAATCTCAAAGCAGTGCTGAGCAGAAGAGTGAAACTTGCAGTTACTTCGGGATTGCCTTTCTCCTTGCAGGTGGAATGGATCCGCAGACAATGGGTCTCACATAACGCATTACATTCTCGAGTATGACGAAGGAAGAGATGAAGGCTTTGTGGAAGTGTTCAAGAGCAGAGGAAAACAGCATAATCTCGCCAAGCTCCAAGCGTCGACGGGCTATAAGTTCAGGCTGGCCGCAGTGAATGCGTACGGTAAAAGGTGTGTTGGCGTGTTGTTGGTCCATTTCTGTTCGTACAGTACCACAAGTATTGGCTTTGTGTACTATACGTGCAACGCATATTTTAAGTTGTGTTGAACGTGGAAATACTTTCAAGCTACAGATTGTACAGGACTGTAACGAGCATATATGATACTTCAGAAATGGTGAGAGAATGACAGATATTTACTCAATCCGTTGGCAGACTGAAAAGAGAACAGAACCTTTTTTTCCCCACCTGTTGGACGTTTCTGTATTATTTATAAACAGTTTCCTCCTCCTTATCCTGTTTATTCCTTTGGAGTGAATTGTAGAGTCTTTCTTACATGACGGATACAAAAGATAGTGAAAGTAAAATGCAAGGAGTGTGATGTGGGTCCATGTATTGGTGTTTTGAAATGAGCCACAAAAGTCTTACCATTTACATTTAAGAAAATTTAATTTATTCTGAAATTTGTTCTGCTGAGAAAATTATATCCCAGTGTATGAGCCGTATATCTCATTTTTGTCTTTGTTAGGAAACTGAAAGAGAGTCCACCTCCGGTGACTCGGAGGCGAGATTGCCGTAATTTATTCCTACATGGGAGGGGTCTTAGAATGGGATGCTTTAATCCTCATTGCAGCCTTTAAGATGGAGAATGCTACATAGCTCAACAAGACCACCATCGATATTCAAAACAAGTTCAGAATTAAAATGGCTACATGACGCTCCATGTCTGCACTTTGTAGTTTTGTTCATTGTTTATTACAGTAGCATATTTTACATGTCTTTGTGTCAAGGTTGATCGATTATAAATATAGAATTCACGTCACCGTATTTTATTTTCCATGTAAGTGACATTAATTAAAGGTATTTTTTTTAACACATCACAATTCAAAATTTGTTGGTATTACTGATTATGAGAAGTTAGAAATTCACGTAAGTATTGTCCTTGATGTTATGCAATATCATGAAAGTGCATTTCAGAAATAAACTTTAAATTTTTAAATTGATTTTTCTTTTCCAGTTGTTATTCGGACGTGGTGCAGTTCTCGACGTCCGGAAGCCCTCCCAGCCAACCGACTCCGCCAGTGCTCAAAGAAGCCTCAGTCACCAGTCTTCATCTGGCATGGCAGATGCGTCCATTTGACGATGACTTTTCTCTTCAAATGGATCACAGAGAATTGGGGCACGGTTTCCTTCCCGTCTACAACGGCAAGGACTTGCATTACGTCTGTGACGGACTTCGCAGACATACAGAATACTGGTTTCGAGTAAATACGTATAGTAAAAATCTTTTGTAGTAGTAAGTTTGTTTTTATGTACGGGCAGCGTAATGATCTTAGCCCTTCGTGTCCACGTGTTGTCAGATCACACGCAGAGCAGTTACTGGGGTTTTAACGTACCCCAAATAATTTTCCTATTTGAATGCAAACAAACCTGATACTGTTGCTATTACGGTTTGATTCATGCTACTGATTTATTTTAAATTATAATAAAATATTTTTAAACCATGTGGTAGTTTTGCATTTCCAGAAACATTGTTTACTGTTTATGAAAATGATACCCATGTTTTGTACTTGCAGCCTCGCATGATCTGGCTTCGTCATCTTCCTTATAAGTAAAACTTTGTTAGGGAGGATTTTTTTGGCGGGGGGT